CAGATCACCTGTCACCTGCCTGTCTTCCTGTGTCCCAGGGCTTTCGTGAGGGTCAGAGGAGGTTACAGCAGAAACCAGACTGTCTAGGCGCGAAGCCAGAACTTGTCATTCCAGGGACGACAAGGATTTGCAGGGGCAGAGCCAGGAGGCGAGCTGTGTGCACTTGCTCACGGGTCTTCCTCCGTGGAGGGTCCAGGGCCTCAGGCTGGGAGTACTGGACTGTGGCCAGTTCCCAGCTGGGCAGGGCGGGCTGGGAACCGCAAGCGGACAGGGACAGTGATGGATGGAGCGACCCGTTCCGGCACATTCCATGTCCTTTCCCACCACCCCGCCCGGCCCTGCAAGCAGTTCTCGCCAGCAGATTAGTGACATTTTGCTGGGAACAGGATCAGCTGCCTGGGAAAATCACGGGGTCTCCACGGGCCTTGGGGAAAGGCTGCCAGGTCTGGGAACTTTCTAAAGGGGTGAGAGCTCAGAGACAGATGAGGCTGCGGGGCTGGGGAGGAGTTGGCGCCTCCCACCCTCCCCTCTTCCTGAGACCCCAGGCTGTGACCTCCTTGGGCATGCTCAGAGCCTTGGGGGCAGCGTAGCCCACCCATATCTGGTGCCCACTGGGAGGCGTCACACCTGAGCCCCTGCCAGGTCCTGCGCCAAGCTCCTGAGATGGAGGGTAGGAAGGGCGAATGCTGGCCCTGTCCTGGGGGTGGAGGGACACATGAAAAGACAGCACTGCCTGTAATGGACAGGAGGGGAGGGGAAGCTGACAGATGCCGGCACTCCGCTCCCATTGCGGGGCTCACAGCTGCCCAGACCCACGCATGCCTCTCCCTGCCACGGCCTCTCTGCCTCAGTTTCTCCACTTGTAAGATGGAGAAAAACAGTCCTTCAGGCTACAGAAGGTTCCAGAAGGCCAGACTCTGCCCTTTGTTAAGCTGTGTTCTCTTCCACAACATTGGTGCATTTTGCCGGCTTCCCGGACACCCCACGAGCCCCTCACCTCCCATCCACCT